CATTAAATTACCTTAATCTATTTTAACCTTATCTTACCATAAAAACCCTAAAACTTAAAACTTAAATCTTATTTATACCAATTTCTCATAACCATAGCATATTCTTACATAGTTCTTTTTAACATTTCTGCTAAAGCCAAATAATTTCGTTCCAACATTTTTCTAATACTCATTAATTTTAGAAAACATTCCTAAGTAGAATTTTTAAAACTTTCTTCCAATCTTCATCCAACGTCTCTTCCTCCTGGTCTCGGGTTTTGTCAGTCCTTTCTATCCCATCCATCTAGTTCATTAACCTGGTAACCTTATGTCCGAGGCCCTTAAGTCTCTTCCATGTTCCTTCCGCAGATCTTCTTCATATTTATACCTGTACTTTACTTTGTCTTCTGCTCCTTTCACTCGTGGAGACTCCAGCTTGACAATATTTTTGTCCCTTCTCGACAGATCAGCCCCTTTTCCATAGTCCACACTGAACTCCATGTGGTATTTAAAAGTATGTTTCAAGGTCCCTCCAAAGTTGAGGACCCCCACAACTCCAAACTCCTCCCGGCCCAACGCCAGACTTGAAAAGTCAAAACATCCCTGCATAGGGGGGTCTATCCAGCCCCCCATCTCCAAGCCAAACAAGACTCTATCTCTCCAAATCTGGCTTTTTCCAGGTTCATTCGTCAGATCCAACAATTCATGTTCCTGCTGGGCCACGGTTCCCTCCATCTCTGCCTCCCGGGGTCTAGCCACAACCTCCTCCCTCATCTGATCTGTCAGAGCACACTCCTGAATTGATTCCTGAGTGGGTTCTATATACATACCCACTACCTGTCCAAAATTTCTGATCGCAACAGTCATCAAATCCGTCTTCTCATGTAACTGTTCCAATAAAGCACTTGTCTTGCAGAAAGCACGCACCAGAGCCTCCGAGTACATTGTTGTGCAAGGTCAAAGTCTGATCCCACGATCTTAATCTATTGCAGCTGCAAAGCTCCCCAGTTCAGATTTAATAACAGTTTCACAAGCTCCCTCTAGGGGAAGAACTTCTATTTGTATCCATCTCTCTCTCTCTTTTTTTAAAGCAGATCTAACAACAAAGTTTCCTTTTTTAGATATTTTGTCAATATTTTGTTCCTTTTAACTGCGAAGGAGAACAATGGAATCACTATGTTTCTCTTCTTATAACTGTCTGTCAAAAACGTTTGTCTTTAGTCAATGAACTCCGAAAACGTCTGTCCTGACACCCCGCTCCCAGGTTCAAGACTGTGGAAAATTGCTTTTCTTTACACACTCTTCTGCAGGTTTAAACAGTCCAGAAAAAATCCCCCCTCTTCTCCTGCTTCCAAAGGGGGTTCAGTAACTTTAGATGATGAAAGTTGATCCTTTGCAAACGGTTTTCTAAACTCTAGCTTGCCATATCTTTGCTTTAATCTTTCTACAAAAAGCGGAAGGCTGACTTCCTGTTTAGACCTTCCCGCTTCAGTGCCAAATTAAAAGGAATTTCTTAGTCCAATTTTCCGTTCTACTCACAGGTCGTTGTTTAGAGTCCAATTGTCCAAATTTAACCTACTCACGGGTAGTTGTTTTTGTAGCCAGATTGTCACAGGAAAAAGGTAGCGCTCTCCGGTAACGGCTGTGCGGCTTCGCTCCATGGAAGAAGCAGTTGACTCTCAGCACCGTGCCGCTTGCCCCGCTTCGCTCCGGTTCCTTTACAAATTGGGGGGGCGCAAAAGGTGCCCGCCGAGTCCCACGGTCACAGGCTTCACCCGCCTGTGATTTTTTAAAGGGTCCCCGTTTCGCCGTAGCGGAACAGACCCGATTTCCGTAGAGCCAGTCCCTCCAGATCAGAGGGAGTCCGCCATTACCAATGGCGCCACCCCGGAAGTCTTTGTTTGTCGACACTCTCATCCACCAAGGCTAGTTGTTTTGCCCAGGAGTGTGGTTCTGTTATAGATTTGGAGGCAATAAGCACACTTAGGGGTGAGGACCAAAAGTTTGATTAATGCACACCAAGCATACAGCTGAATGTTTTTTACACACAAGTCTAATCAAAGCTTTAAGGAGACACAACTGTCTATATCAGCACATCTCATGCGCCTTCTGCTACTGGATAACTCTTAGGCTTTTGTCCTACTACTCCTTTCTTATAAAATTATTATTATTATTATTATTATTATTATTATTATTATTTATACCCCAGCCTTCTGGCTGGGTTTCCCCAGCCACTCTGGGCAGCTTCCAACAAAATATTAAAATACACTAATCCATCAAATATTAAAAGCTTTCCTAAACAGGACTGCCTTCAGATGTCTTCTAAAAGTCTGGTAGTTGTTTATTTCCTTGACTTCTGGTGCGAGGGCGTTCCACAGGGCGGGTGCCACTACCGAGAAGGCCCTCTGTCTGGTTCCCTGTAACCTTACTTCTCACAGTGAGGGAACCACCAGAAGGCCCTCGGCGCTGGATCTCAGTGTCTGGGCTGAACGATTGGGGTGGAGACGCTCCTTCAGGTATACTGGGCCAAGGCCGTTTAGGGCTTGAAAGGTCAGCACCAACACTTTGAATTGTGCTCGGAAACGTACTCATTCTTTTCTGTTATTCATTACAATGTGCTGTCATTATAATATTGTAAAATAAATAACAAATCAGTCTACAGTGGTACCTCAGGTTAAGTACTTAATTCGTTCAGGAGGTCTGTACTTAACCTGAAACTGTTCTTAACGTGAAGCACCACTTTAGCTAATGGGGCCTCCCGCTGCCGCTGCACCGCCAGAGCATGATTTCTGTTCTCAACCTGAAGCAAAGTTCTTAACCTGAGGTACTATTTCTGGGTTAGAGGAGTCTGTAACCCGAAGCGTATGTAACCTGAGGTACCACTGTATTTCTTTTTTAAAAAATATTTTTTGTTAAAGATTCTTTTGAGGAATATTGCAAATGTTCAGAAAAGCATTCCACTGGATGCCTGTCTAATAGCACAGTGATGCTGATCTTCTTCCACAAAATTGTAATATTATATCTTCTCAGAGCAATGTAAACATACAACACTTTGAATTGTGCTCGGAAACGTACTGGGAACCAATGTAGGTCTTTTAGGACTGGTGTTATGTGGTCTCGGCGGCCACTCCCAGTCACCAGTCTAGCTGCCACATTCTGGATTAGTTGCAGTTTCCGGGTCACCTTCAAAGGTACCCCCACATAGACTGTCTCCAATGGTCATTGACTCTGGCTCCATCTACTGTTGGCCTCCTGCCTTCGGCACTTCCAGTCCCAATGGGCAGCAGCCACTGCTGACTGGTCCCATCGCTCCCAGCGGACAAAGCCAATAGATAAGGATGATGGGAATCATAGTGCAACAGAATCTGGAGGGCCACCAGTTCCCCATCCCTGGTACAGGTTGTCTCATCTTTACCTAGCCGGCCAATTGGAATGGCTGCACCTGGATCTACATTGATTGGTTCTAGAAAACCCCCTTGTTTTGACACCTGCCTGCAATGGACAGATTGGGGGAGTCAAACAAAATAAGGATGGCTGACAGAGGAGCTTCATGTCTTTGGTAGAGATGGTGGGTGGGAACTTGATCCTGTTTGCATTTAAAGGCAAACTTGCCTAATCCACACTTTCTGAAGCCATACATGAACCGCACCAGTATCCTCCTTCACCCTTTTTTAGTAATGCAGTTCTCTAGCCAGGCAATGTGTATGAAAATGTATACAAAAGCCCTTGTGAAAATTTGTTGGCATTTTAGTGCATTTTATATATTTTGCATTTGATTTTGCCCGAGAGACCCGTTTTTGCAAAGTGACATCCCATCCCATAATAGCATTTTCACGTGCTTATTTTCATGAACATGGTGCATTTTGATTCATTCCTTCCTGAAATATGCACATTCTGATACACTTACAGTATTTTTCGCTCCATAAGATGCACCAGACCACAAGACGCACCTAGTTTTTGGAGAAGGAAGACAAGAAAAAAAATATATTCTGAATCTCAGAAGCCAGAACAGCAAGAGGGATCGCTGTGCAATGAAAGCAGCAATCCCTCTTGCTGTTCTGGCTTCTGGGATAGCTGCGCAGCCTGCATTTGCTCCATAAGACGCACACACATTTCCCTTTATTTTTTAGGAGGGAAAAAGTGAGTCTTATAGAGCAAAAAATATGGTAATTGTTTGGAGAACTTCGTCGCAAAATTCGACGAAGGGTAAATTTGGAAGCAAACCTACGTTTCGGTTTGCATATCATTTCAAAAATTGTGAATTATGTAGCTCACATTAAAATCCAAGCTGAATTTCTCTGCAAACACACGCACACACCCAACTCCCCAGCTGATGCTCTTCATTTTTGAAAATCAGCACTTTTAAGGCATCTTTAGCTGTCAATTTTGGCCCTGGTGCTGATTGAAGACAAGGCCTTGCTTGCAAAATACTGCAGGGGACACTTCATGCCAGCTATCAAATCTCATGGCAAATGCTTTATTATTACTATTATTTTAAATGCACCGGGCATTTCTGCAACTCCGGCAGATTGCAGAGCGGACGAGAGAGAAGCCAGAGCAGACCCTCTTTGACAACAGTTTCCTGGAAGTCTCTCGGGTTCCGGGAGAGCTGCCCAGTTTCTGCGGTGTCTCTGCCTCGAAGCTGGATCGCTGCAGTGCTGGCGGGCTGTGTATTTCAGGAATGCAAAAATCTGGCAGGGCAAACGCTCCGGCTCAGCCAAGATGATGTGTTGGGGCACGACTGACGTTAATTAAAAAGAAAAGAAGGAGAAGGAGAAATGTAGAGGAGTCAAAAGAAACCAGAACAGAAGAAAAGCAAGTTGTAAACCTTTAAGGAGGCAATTAGTTATTCCTTGTTGGGTGGGGGAAGCCTGCCAGGATCTGAGGGCCAATACGGCAACCCAGAGATGGGGAACCAGAGTGGCCCTGCAGAAGCTCTTGGACTACAACTCCCATCATCCCTGACTATTATCCACGCTTGCTGGTGCTGATGGGAGTTGGAGCACAACAGCATGGGGAAAGGATGTCGCTCAGTGGTAGGGCATCTTATCTGCATTTAGGAAGTCCCAGGTTCAAGTCCTGGCATTAGAGCTAGGCAAAGACTCAATTCTTGAAAACTTGGGGAGTTGCTGCCAGTCCGTGTAGATGCGGGTGGCGCTGTGGTCTAAACCATGGAGCCTCTTGAGCTTGCCGATCAGAAGGTCGGCGGTTTGAATCCTCGCAACGGAGTGAACTCCCGTTGCTCAGTCCCAGCTCCTGCCAACCTAGCAGTTTGAAAGCACTTCAAAAGTGCAAGTAGATAAATAAGTACCACTCTGGCGGGAAGGTAAACGGGGTTTCTGTGCACTGCTCTGGTTTTGGTGTTCCGTTGCACCAGAAGTGGCTTAGTTATGCTGGCCACATGAGCCAGAAAAACTGTCTGTGGACAAACACTGGCTCCCTCGTCCTGTAAAGCGAGATGAGCGCCACAACCCCAGAGTCGTCTGCGACTGGACTTAACCATCAGGGGTACTTTACCATTATTATTTTTTACGTGTAGACAATACCGAGCTAGGTGGAGCAATTGTGCGTCTCTTTAGAAGACAGTTTCCTATGCTCCTAGCATCTGGAAGGTCCCTTGGTCTGGTCCAGCAAGTCTCTTCTCCTTATACCAGTCCCTGGCATCGATCATCCATGAAATGGTTTAAAGGGGAGACTCTCCCAAAACCGACTGCTTGAGGTCCTTTAACTGGAGATGTCAGAGACAGCATAGGGCATCAATGGCTTAATTAATAGGAAGACGTATAACGGCACGCAATAGAATCGAGGTTCATGGAGGGTGTAACCAAACAAATCGGACCGAAATAAAGACTAGAGAGGTGTGTATCTTCTGCGTGCGGTTTGTGTAAGCAGATCAGGATGAATGATGCTCAAGAAATAGGTGTTCTGGAAGAATCGTGGGCAGCCAAAATAACCGCATCCATGCATACATATTGATAGGCATCGAAGGGACCCCAAGCTTTGCAGAAGTACAAAGTTTGAGAGAGAAGCCCAAAACCAGTCCAATGAGGACTGAGCATGCTCAGTGACCACAGAATGCTCACTGGCTGTTGCAGGCAAGGTAGAAAACCAGGTGAGGGACTGAACTGGACCAATCTGTTAATTTCAATTTCTCTTTAGTTTCTCGTTTTTCCAACTCTCAGTTCAGTTCTCTGCAAATTACATTTTTGGGGGTGGGGGGGAAGAGTCCTCATGAAAATTCATCGGATGTATCCTAATATATACTTATTTGTCTTGTGTTTCGCCTAAAATACACATCTTTGCAGAGTAATATTGCCTTTTGTGCTCGTTTTACTATTATATGCATATTTTTTACCCTGGAATATGCACTTTTGGACACATTACTTGACTGGCATGAGGCGTTGCCTAAATTCAAAGAATGTTTGGATTTTTCCAGTTGGCTGTGTTTCCTTCCTCGTAATGTTTCGGAAGGTGGGAATGAGACAGGTTTGCCTTTTGTTGCAAACTCAGTTGAATTCCTACCCCATCTTGCAAACAATACAGTGGTACCTCGGGTTACATACACTTCAGGTTACACACGCTTCAGGTTACAGACTCCGCTAACCCAGAAATAGTACCTTGGGTTAAGAACTTTGCTTCAGGATGAGAACAGAAATCGTGCTCCGGCGGCGAGGCAGCAGCGGGAGGCCCCATTAGCTAAAGTGGTGCTTCAGGTTAAGAACAGTTTCAGGTTAAGAACGGACCTCCGGAACGAGTTAAGTACTTAACCCGAGGTACCGCTGTACTTGGGTGGAATAGACTTTTCCTGCTGGATCCTGAGCATTGCTACTTTGGCACTAACAAAATCCATTCGGGAGGACAGGCTCTTAACTGCTAGTAAGCAAGAAAAGGCTTTTGGTTTTTGGTTTTTTTAAACTGCTTGCAGAATAGCGAGAACCCGTCTCTCTCAGCTCATCTCTCAGCAATTGGCAAGGAGGGTTTTTTCTTTCTTTTTTTAATATATCAGGGCTTGGGAAGCGTTAATACCAGAGGGCCTTTTCTCACTCTTCTTCCCTTGTCAAGTCGAGAGGGAGGGATGGCAGTTGCAGATCACAGAGTTGTGCTTGCGTGAGAGAAAAAGCGAGCGCTTGGCACTGCGGCTCCACCCACCCCCCTGCCCAGCTCCCGGGGGCCTCTCCCTGCTGCAGGCTTCACACCTGTTCACACAACCTTTCCCAGGTATACACACCTTGGTTAGGTACCCCCACCATAGCTCTCAGCAGGGTGGGGTGGGAAATCGGTGCTGAGCCAAGGAGACCAAATAGCATTTTGGGGAGGGGTGGGTCTAGGGGTTTCTCCGAAACCTTTCCCCACCCATCTCAAGCTTCTTAACCCTTAGTAGTCCATGCAGAGCTGGGCATTTCAGCCGGCAGGCAGCAGGAAAGGTAGGATTGCTATTTACAGTGGTAAAAGGTAAAGGTAAAGGGACCCCTGACCATTAGGTCCAGTTGTGGCCGACTCTGGGGTTGCGGCGCTCATCTCGCTTTATTGGCCAAGGGAGCCAGCGTACAGCTTCCGGGTCATGTGGCCATCATGACCAAGCCACTTCTGGCGAACCAGAGCAGCGCACGGAAATGACGTTTACCTTCCAGCCAGAGTGGTACCTATTTATCTACTTGCACTTTGACGTGCTTTCGAACTGCTAGGTTGGTAGGAGCAGGGACCGAGCAACGGGAGCTCACCCCGTCGTGGGGATTTGAACCCCCGACCTTCTGATCAGCAAGCCCTAGGCTCTGTGGTTTAACCCAAAGCACCACCCACGTCCCATTTACAGTGGTACCTCGGGTTAAGTACTTAATTCGTTCCGGAGGTCCGTTCTTAACCTGAAACTGTTCTTAACCTGAAGCACCACTTTAGCTAATGGGGCCTCCGAACCGGTGCCCAAGAAAGCCTGGCTATAATCTAACCTTCATGTAAGCTTTGTGCAAGCAAATCAGGGTGAATCTACTATATATTTCAGAAAGTGGTTTGTCTGTCCGTTTGCTCTCACCGCTTGAGATGTCGTTGCCAAACTCAGCATCAGATTGGGGCGGGGGCTGTCGTCATTGACGTTTTAACACCGGGCAACATTTTGAAACAAGATGGCAGGCTGAAACACCACCTTGACATGACTTCACCGGTTATTTGGCCAAATGGGTCCAAACTCACAAATTACACTATCTGTTTAAAAATCACAATATAGCTTTGGTTCCTATAAATTCCCAGGCAGCTCCAGGAACTTTCCGCTAGCACTCAATAAAAAGGTCATCTGGAGGAGCCTTCAGAGGGGGGGCGAAAATACCGGGCTAGATGGATAAATAGCCTGACCTTGTATAAGGCAGCTTAGATGTTCTGAACTTGTAGAAATTGCCCTTCCCTTGTGGAGGGGATTGACCACAAATGTAGGTAGGCAGGTATATCAGTCAACCAGGGGAGAAGGAAGTGGAGGACTTAGGCTCCCCTCTAGGCTGCGAGGCTTGTCTGTCCAGCACTGACTGCAAGGCTGAACACAACACAGCAATTGCACCAATGACATCCTGTTATATGGTCCCTTCTACGCTCTCCTCCATCTAGACAAGCAATAGGCATGGTCAGAGTTGAAGGACACATTCCAGCCAGGGAGGAATGCTCAAGGAGGGCGAGAAGCAGGAAATAAACAAATAAAACTTTATTCGCATTAGCCAATGGCCATAGCAACAGTAAGGGATGCGGGTGGCGCTGTGGGTTAAACCACAGAGCCTAGGGCTTGCTGATCAGAAGGTCGGTGGTTCAAATCCCTGCGACGGGGTGAGCTCCCATTGCTCAGTCCCTGCTCCTGCCAACCTAGCAGTTCGAAAGCACGTCAAAGTGCAAGAAGATAAATAGGTACCGCTCTGGTGGGAAGGTAAACGGCGTTTCCATGTGCTGCTCTGGTTCGCCAGAAGCGGCGTAGTCATGCTGGCCACATGACCTGGAAGCTATACGCCGGCTCCCTCGGCCAATAAAGCGAGATGAGCGCCGCAACCCCAGAGTCAGTCATGACTGGACCTAATGGTCAGGGGTCCCTTTACCTTTACCTTTACCTTTATAGCAACAGTAAAACATTACAGTATACGCAGAAAGGGAAATTTGATATAAAAGCACAATTTAAAGTCCTGAATCAGCCATCAGTCAGTGGCCCTTATTCTGATTGCCCCTGCTTATGAACCTAGCAACCTTTGCTGTTATCTGCGCATTTTGATCTGATAGAAGAAAGGACCTATTGTGGCAGTGGTTGAGCGCCCTGGGATGGTTAGTACGAGTGGGGTGATGATCTCATTCCTCAGGTCTTTGTAGAGAGTACAGGACAGGAGGACGTGTGCCGCTGTTTCGGTGCTACCATCTCCACAGGGGGGCAAAGACGTTTCTCAGGCAAGATCTTTTGGAATCGACCCTCAAGTACCGCAGATGGCAAAACAACCAGTCTTGCAAGTGTAAAAGCACGTCTGTATTTTGGGATAATAAGTTTGTGCAGATATGGAGCCAGAGAATCAAAATGGAGAGGTGGAAACTGAACATACCAAGGGCAGAATTTCCTTATAGATTGTTCTGGTGCTCGATATCTTTTAGACGTTGACCAATTAGACTGTTTGCTTTAGTGGGGCCCATAGTGAGTAGGTGTTGTGGGGAGAGAAGCAGGAATGGTGAAGAGTGTAGCTTGGATAGAGTACCAAGGGCCAGATGGAGGGGTCTTGAGGGCCAGATTTGGATCCCCAGCCTGAGGCTCTCCATCCCCAAGCTGTGGAAAGGTGGAGCAGTGGGTTGATCTTACAACATGGAAATACAACTGCTCTCTTGGCTGTTTCCAGTTTCTCATTCCATCCATTTTATTTTATATTATTCCTAATTGGTCCCAGGTGTGGCATTTATCACAACATCTGGCTTCTCTCTTCCTCCTCCCCCTCCTCCCCCCGCACTCCCAATACACAAATGGCGAGGAAGCCAACAATTTGAATCTCAAATATTTCACACTCCGCCTGGTGCCAGAAATACAAGACAAATGTGTCTTGCATCTGTCTCTCTGTTGAGCAACAACACATTATCTGCCGTCTTCCAGGCCCTGCTAAGCAGAAGGCAACAATTTAGTTACAGATCTTCTTCATTCTGACCCCAGCCAACTAAAGGGCGTGGACCCGTTGCTGGAAGAGAATTTTAGAGATCTTCATGCTTAAGTAAAAATGGGATACAATGAATGGATGGAAACCAGGGCTGGAACCCTAGTTAATATCAGTGCAGTAATATGCAGGTATATTTGGGAGTGTGTCCCATTGAGTGCAATGGGCCTTACTTCCAGGTGGGTGAATCTGCCAATTTCACTTTCTCTCAGTTTCTACTTGTAAGCTCTGTTCTCTATGCTTCCACAGCAGATTGCAATTTAAAAAAACTCCTGAAAATCCATCAACGTTTTAGGGTGGATTTCACCTAACATACAGGTGCTTATGCACAATTTTGCTTAATGCACACCTTTATAATATAATTATAATTATAATTTATTATTTATACCCCGCCCATCTGGCTGGGTTTCCCCAGCCACTCTGGATGGCTTCCAACAAAATATTAAAATACAACAGTCTGTTAAACACTAAAAGCTTCCCTAAACAGGGCTGCCTTCAGATGTCTTCTAAAAGTCTGGTAATTGTTGTTCTCTTTGACATCTGGTGGGAGGGCATTCCACAGGGCGGGTGCCACTACTGAGAAGGCCCTCTGCCTGGTTCCCTTAACTTGGCTTCTTGCAGCGAGGGAACCGCCAGAAGGCCCTCGGCGCTGGACCTCAGTGTCCGGGCAGAACGATGGGGGTGGAGACTCTCCGTCAGGTATACTGGACTGAGGCCATTTATGTAAGCAATTTCCGCTTATATAATGCATTGCTGTATATTATTTTCACAGATGCTTTTTCTTGCACACCCAGGCATATGCATTTTTGTACACATTACTTGGGCTGGAGAACTTCATTTTTAAAAAAGCGGGAAAGTGCATGCTTTAAAGGATAGCTGTGTTTCAGTTTGTGTATTGTTTCAGAATTTGCAGAATAAGTTAATACACCTTTAAATGTGAACTGAATTGAACCCCACATAACATAACATAATGCATTCATGCAGCATCTACAAGGAAAGAAGAAAGATTCCATCAATGGCGTCTCTGAAAAATGTTACACATCCCTTGGGATGAGAGGCGAATTAATGCCAGTGTACTGGAAGAAGCAAAGATCACCAGTGTTGAAGCAACGATTCTTCAACATCAACTTCGTTGGACTGGTCAAGTTGTGTGGATGCCTGATTATCGTCTTCCAAAGAAACTGCTCTATTCCAAACTTAAAAACGGAAAGCTGGTGGTCAACAAAAGAGGTTTAAAGACTCTCTCAAGGCAGATCTAAGGGAAAAAAGTAGTACAGTGGTACCTTGGGTTACAGACGCTTCAGGTTACAGACTCTGCTAACCCAGAAATAGTACCTCAGGTTAAGAACTTTGCTTCAGGGTGAGAACAGAAATCGTGCGGCGGTGGCATGGTGGCAGTGGGAGGCCCCATTAGCTAAAATGGTACCTCAAGTTAAGAACAGTTTCAGGTTAAGAACGGGCCTCCAGAATTAATGAATTAAGTTCTTAACCCAAGGTACCACTGTATAAACACAGACACCTGGGAAACACTGCCTTGTGAGCGCTCCAATTGGAGAACAGCCTTTACCAAAGGTTTTATAGACTTTGAAGATCCTCAAACTCAGGATGAAAGGGAGGAACTTGCTAAGAAGAAGGCACATTTGGCAAACCCTCACCATGATCAACTCCCGCCCGGAAACCTATGTCCCCACTGTGGAAGGACGTGTGGATCCAGAATTGGCCTGCACAGTCACTCACTGTTAAGACCGTGTTCATGGAAGACAATCTTACTCGGCTATGAGTGATTGCCAGAGAAGAAGACGACAAGGAAAGTAACTACCTTTCCCCCCTCTTCATCCTGCAACAAAATAAGGACATAAGAGCCCAGCTGGGTCAGGCCAATAGCCCATCCAGTCCAGCATCCTTTTCTCACAGTGGCCAACCAAATGTCTGTGGGAAACCTGCAAGAGGGATTTGTGCCCCAGAGCTCTCTCCCTTCCGCTGGGGTTTCCAGCAACTGGTAATCGGAAGCATTGCTGTGGAGGCAGAGCAAAGCCTTCATGGCTAGTAAAGGTAAAGGGACCCCTGACCATTAGGTCCAGTCGTGACCGACTCTGGGGTTGCGGCGCTCATCTCGCTTTATTGGCCGAGGGAGCCGGCGTACAGCTTCCGGGTCATGTGGCCAGTATGACTAAGCTGCTTTTGGCAAACCAGAGCAGCGCACGGAAACGCCGTTTACCTTCCCACCAGAGCAGTACCTATTTATCTACTTGCACTTTGTGCTTTTGAACTGCTAGGTTGGCAGGAGCAGGGACCGAGCAACGGGAGCTCACCCCGTCACGGGGATTCAAACCGCCGACCTTCTGATCGGCAAGTCCTAGGCTCTGTGGTTTAACCCACAGCGCCACCCGCATCCCTTGTTTGTGGCTGGTAGCCTCCATGAAATTGTCCAGTCCTCTTTTAATGCCATCTAAATTTTCAGCCATCGCTGATTCCTGTGGGAGCAAGTTCCATAGTTTAACTATGTGCTGCGTAATTTGTTTTGTCTTTCCTGAATGAGATATAATTGAGAGGAAAATCTCTCCAGAGATTGCTTGTGTGAGAGAGAAAGAAAAAGAGAGAGATCATCAGGACCTGAACACTTAAGACAGGTATCTCCAGCCCTCCAGGTATCTCCAGCCCTCATCCTCGGCTGTAACTTCTGCATCTCACAAAACGTAGTCACTGTAGGGGATGTCCATTACAATTTCTCCCCATTTCTCATTTTCCTCATTTTTACACCCTGCTCTCCACACTTCCTCATCAATTCATGCTTATTAAATTTTTTATTCCTCATGAAAATTCGCTAGCATTTTTGTCCAAGTTTCCCCTAAGGCACACATTTCCCAAGCCATTTCCCCTAATATAATACATGCTTTTTGCATGTTGTTCCTCCTAACAGATGCATCCTCATGTGCAAAAACCAACACATAGGCCAGTTTAGGTTCAATTGCCTCAATTTATTCCAAATGAACCCTAAGCCTACTATTTTCTGGGAGGTGGTAGAAGCTCACCCCCATGCAGAAAGATCACCGATCTATTCTGGAGCTCCAAGAGTGCTGGAGAGAGGAAAGGCCAAATTAACTGAGAGACAGGGCACCGATACAGGCACCGGCCTTTAAGCCAGGGGAACCATCGCTACTCAGTCCATATCATTCATCTCCCAAGAGTTTGCAAATACCGCATTATTCACCCAGCCTGGCTGTTGGCTGGGCTTAGCACTGTTTTTATTACAAGACATGAAAGCAGCTCCAGAAAGACGTTTCTTGCAAAGATCCCGGCTCGCCATGCCAAAACGATCGCTGCTTTGGCAGAGTCTGCGCATTCATTTTTTATTGGTCACAAATGGAATCCAGATGTTGGCTGCAGAAGGCAGCCCTGGTGACTTGGAGCCCTGCCACCGTCACTTTGTTAAACTCTTGACCTGCAGCGGGTTAAAAGCTGCGAAAGAATGGGACTGAGTCATCGGGAGGGCATCGGCAGCCCCGCCAGGGGGGAAGAGAGAGGCCCAGCACAGCAACTTTGGCCTGGCACAGGAAATGGTTAAGGTGGGCTACACCCTATGCATAGGGGAAGAGCTGTGGTTCAGTGGCAGAGCTGCTGCTTGGCACGCAGAAGGTTCCCGGTTCAATCCCCAGCATCCCCAGGACCAGGACCAGAAAAGACCCCTGGCTTGGAAAGCTGGAGAGCAGCTGCCAACCAGTGCTAACAACACTGAGCTAATTGGCCCAATGTTCTGATTAGTATAAGGCATCCTCCTATCTTTCTATTTACCATATTTTTCGCTCTATAGGACGCACTTTTTCCCCTCCAAAAATTAAGCGTCCTATAGAGCGAATGCAGGCTGCGCAGCTAAGCCCAAAGCCAGAACAGGGAGATGGAGCGCTGCGGAAATGGCTGCCCTGCGGAGGCTCCAAAGGCTGTCCCCGAAGCCTGAAGCCTTTGGAGCGCAGTGGGAACTTGCACTGCGCTCCAAAGGCTTCAGGGATCTTACAGGCTGGCGGTGGGGGAAAGCAGCGCTTCCCCCCACTGCCAGCCCCAAAGAGCAGGTCAAAAGGAACCTGAAGCCTCTGGAGCGCAGTGGGAGGTCCCTCTGGGCTCCGGAGGCTTCGGGTTGCCGTCACTGAAGCCTGGAGAGCGAGAGGGGTCAGTTGCACCGACCCCTCTCACTCTGCAGGCTTCCAAGGGAGCCGCCTGAAGCCTCCAGAGTACAGCGGTAAGTCCCACTGCACTCTGGAGGCTTTGCGTGAATGCACCTTGAACGCAGCTTGTTTTAGAGGGGGAGAACAAGAAAAAAAAGTGAGTGAAATAGAGTGAAAAATATGGTAATTCAGCCCTTTGTTTTTTTTAAAAAAAAAATACCATGAGGTCTAGAATCTTACGTCTTCTTTTAGAGGAGAAGCCATCGCTCGGTGGGAGAGCATCTGTTTTGCATGTGAAAGGTCTCAGGTTCAATCCCTAGCATCTATAGGTTAAGCTTGGAATTGTCCCCTGCCTGAAACCTTGGAAAGCCTGATATCATAGGCGTGTGGCAGAATGGGCGAGACCCCTTTTGTAACTTCTCTGTTCCTTACTCCTCAAATCATACGCTCTTTTTGTTCCATTTCCTCAGTAAAGTTCTGCTGGGATGCCCCTCTCTCTGGACCCCATCTGCGTTACTGAAGCGACATTATTGAGCATGAGACTCTTAAACTCAGGGTCGTGGGTTGGGCAAAAGGTTCCTGCATTGCAGGGCGTTGGGCTTAGAATATCCTGTGGTCCCTTCCAACTTTATGATTCTATAGGTTCTGTAAGAGGAAGAAGCAGAAATCTCTGGAACCCATGTACACACACATACCACTCTCTGGTAGGTGGCATGGATTTGGCCCAGAAGAAGAGGCAAGCTGATGGATAGTGGCAACAGAAAGGGAAGAGATGCAACAACCTTTGTGGGTCAGAAGATAGCCTGGAAGAAAAGGCAAACATTGCAGGGAGTTGGAGCCCCCACTCTTGGTGAAGTGAATGGGGCCTTGCACCTCCCTTGAAGAGCTTCTCTGTCTGTTTTCTTCTGGAATACCTGCCTAAGTTGGGTTGCAAGCAGGTCTACAGGTAGTGTGTACTACTCTATGCCCTTGGAATGCTAGCCAGTAGAGTCTGGTGCCAATTGGGTCTGGTGGCCAGATTCTGTGTACAGATCTGTAGGGGCAGACCATCCCCTAACCCAAACTAGTTTGTTAAGAAAATCCCCAAACTCGGTTCCATGGGTGACCTTGGGTCATCTCCCTGCGGTAGCTTATCTTAAAGTTTTAAGTGTCTATACGCTTGTCACATTTATAAATTTTAAATTTATTGTTGTATATTGTTTTAAATGTTTGTTTCCCTTCTGGGATTGTACCCCCAAGTGTGTTTTATAAGCTGGTCTCCGACCATAATAAATTATCTATCTTGCGTCTGGTGGGGCAGAAAGCAGGGAGCCCAACAGTAGGTGGCGCTAGAGACAGGCAGAACTGTCCCTTCCCTGCTGAGATCTGCAAGGGCGAAACAGAGACTCGGGAGGACGAAGTCTGACAGCCAGGGCTACCCTCTCGACTGGTGGGCAACTAAGAAAGGCAGCAGGTGAGGGCTGGCTGAGGACAGACTGAGGTTGTGCCCTGGCTCTTTCTGGACCCCGCCGTCGGTTGCTTGTTTGTAGCTTTTGTCTCAAGAGTTCAAGCGCTTTCCCCCGCTGCCTCACGTACCAGACTCCATCTGGGCAGACAACCAGGGCTGTGGGCAGTTCAGGAATCAAAGAGCGGAGCCAGGAAAACCTTCACATCCACCCAAGTTTCGTGCCAAACCCGAAGTCGAAACGCAAGTCCACTGAGAACGATGGAGGAGCTGCGAAGGGAGAGAGGGAGGGAAATGGATTTAAGGAAGGTGTGCAAATGTTCGGCATCTCCATGTGCTCAGCTTTGCATCTGACCAAAGCAACAAGGGTACTGTTATGTACTGTGTTGAATAGGATCCAAAAGGCAGCAGTCTGATTGGTCCTAGAACAATAGGATTCAGAATGCAGCAGTCTGATTGGTCCTAGAACAATAGGATTCAGAATGCAGCAGTCTGATTGGTCCTAGAACAACAGGATTCAGAATGCAGCAGTCTGATTGGTCCACAGGAGCCATCCAATCCAGCTGCAGGTGGAAGTGAATCCGCAACCTGATTGGCCTTCCGAAGAATCCCGGGAATTAGCCAATCATGTGGGGCCCATTGTGTAAATAATGTATATAAAGCAGACATTCTGGGGGAGCTTCCATTCCTCTTCACCACTATGAGCTGAATAAAGAGCATGGAATCCACTCTTTACTCCTAGTATATTTCAGGTACAGAAAGAAAATATCCACTCAGTGGCCCTTTAGGAAGTACCATCGCACTCCTATTCACGTCTACTCAGAAGTAAGTCCTGTTTACATACGCTTCAGGTTACATACGCTTCAGGTTACAGACTCCGGTAACCTAGAAATAGTACCTTGGGTTAAGAACTTTGCTTCAGGATGAGAACAGAAATCGTGCTCCGGCGGCGCAACGGCAGCAGGAGTCCCCATTAGCTAAAGTGGTGCTTCAGGTTAAGAACAGTTTCAGGTTAAGAACGGACCTCCAGAACGGAGTAAGTACTTAACCCGAGGTACCACTGTATTACCTTTAGAAGATATCTGAAGGCAGCCCTGTATAAGTAAACCTTTTGATGTGTAATGTTTTATTATGTTTTTATACATGTTGGAAGCTGCCCTGAGTGGCTGGGGCAACCCAGTCAGATAGGTGGAGTGCAATTATTATTATTATTATTATTATTATTATTATTATTATTATTTATGCCACTTTGTGCACACTGAAGAAAAAGGTGAGAAATAAATGCAATAAAGAAGAATTTCCACCCAGTGAGTTTCGCTTGCAGCCAGCCCATCTCGTTCTCCAAAAAGCAACGAAGATCCTAGATTATTTGCAGATTGAAGAGGCATGTCAGTGACAAAAGAGGGGTCTGAGAGGCTGCTCCAGATGTCTTCTCTCAGGGGAGCTGGAACTGGCCCAGATGTGTATTTTTCTTATACCAAAAAATATACATAAAAAAATGAGACCACATTGTTTGGGGAAGTTGCCATGAGAAAGCATGGGCTGAATCACGCCTAAAAGCGAGGCCAAGATCTGCTGCCTGAGTTCCAGAGCGACCCACCAGCAAGCTGTGTTTTCACTTCTGACACCAATGGCGCTTCCAGCTCAGCCCTCAGGAGGTTCATTTAGAAAACAACAGTGAAGCAATCTCTCAGGCAAACCTGAAACTCCTCAGCTTCAGCCAAGTGGAAACGCCGGTCTGTCATCCCCATCTCAAAACAAAAAAACTATTTAGAGAAAACAAAGCTGGGGAGTGGAGGGTGGGGTCAGGGGGGAGAGAAACCTTTTGTCATCATTTCTGGAATTTGGCAGACAGGATTTGGTGGAGGGCATTACGTAACGTCTCGGGGGGGGGCTGCGGCTGAATTAGCAGGTGTGGCATGGAGAAAGCTGGATCCACGGGTGGGGGGCACTGGTAAAAGATAGAAATTTCCACTAAAAAGCCGGAGTTCCAGGAGGACTTCCTTTGGGGGGGGCAACACCATCCACAGACTGATGTGGAAACTGACAGATTCACTGTGTGGCTGGCATCTCAGCTGGTTTGGCCTTTTGCAACTCACACCAACAAAATTTCAACCAAGCACACACACCCCAAGGCAAAGGTGATGATTTCTAAAATGGAAGGGCTATCACTTGCTTTGCCCTTGCTTTGCCTGCAGAAGGTCCAGGTTCAATGTTCAGCATCTCCAGGTAACACTGGGAGAGTGCCCTTTCCGAAACCCAGGAGAGCTGCTGCGAGTCAGTGCGGGCAGTACTGAGCTCGATGGACTTTGTGGTAAGGCAGCATTCGATACTCAAAAACAGGGACAAAGATTTACTAGGGGCAATTGCCAAGGAATACGGACTGTTTCGGGATAATTGGGATAGGTAGTAAGTATCTCGTTGTGAAGGGACACGGGGGCGGCTGTGGGTTAAACCACAGAGCCTAGGACTTGCCGATCAGAAGGTCGGCGGTTCAAATCCCCGCAACGGAGTGAGCGCCCGTTGCTCGGTCCCTGCTCCTGCCAACCTAGCAGTTCGAAAGCACATCAAAGTGCAAGTAGATCAATAGGTACTGCTCTGGCGGGAAGGTAAACGGCGTTTCCATGCGCTGCTCTGGTTTGCCAGAAGCGGCTTAGTCATGCTGGCCACATGACCCAGAAGCTGTACACCGGCTCCCTCGGCCAATCAAGTGAGATGAGCGCCGCAACCCCAGAGTCGGTCACGATTCGACCTAATGGTCAGGGGTCCCTTTACCTTTACCTATCTCGTTGTGAAATAGCATTGGTATCATATTTCGTTAGAATGATGCTTGCAATTGCCCCTTTAATGCCCCCCCCCAAATCTGCATGAAAAGGTCTGAGCGTAGCTTTCTTTGTACCTATCATTGAAGAAGTTAACACTGTTTCCGTGTAGCCAGCATTATGCCAGCCAGTGCCTAGGGCCTTCTGGTGGTTCCCTCATTGCGAGAAGTGAGGTTACAGGGAACCAGGCAGAGGGCCTTCTCGGTAGTGGTGCCCGCCCTGTGGAACGCCCTCCCATCAGATGTCAAGGAAATAAACGACTACCAGACTTTTAGAAGACATCTGAAGGCAGTCCTGTTTAGGGAAACTTTTAATGCTTGACGGATTACTGTATTTTAATATTTTGTTGGAAGCCACCCAGAGTGGCTGGGGAAACCCAGCCAGATGGCTGGGGTTTGAATAAATCATTATTATTATTATTATTATTATTATTATTATTATTATTTTATAAGAAAGGAGTAGTAGGACAAAAGCCCAAGTGTTCTCCAGTAGCAGAAGGCGCATGAGATGTGCTGATATAGACAGTTGTGTCTCCTTAAAGCTTTGATTAGACTTGTGTGTAAAAAACATTCAGCTGTATGCTTGCTGTGCATTAATCAAACTTTTGGTCCTCACTCCTAAGTGTGCTTATTGCCTCCAGATCTATAACAGAACCACACCCCTGGGCAAAACAACTGGCCTTGGTGGATGAGAGTGTTGACAAACAAAGTTTATAGTCTCTGGTTAAATTAAAGGCTGCGTACACATGCCCATGTACTCTGAATCCAGGGCTCTCCACCACTAGTTTGGGAAGTGATGTACGCATGGCATTAGCTCCCATCTGAATCGGTCCTTTATCCATCCTGTCATTTCTTATGAAATGTTGCATTTGGATGTGTGTTTTCTCCAAACCGTCTTGGATCCGAAATGAGAAAAAGGACAACCTTGCTCCGGTTTTAAGCTTAGCCAAAGTTAGCTTTGAGTCCCAAATGGCGGACGATGAAGTTGGCATTGCGCTGTAGAGTGGTACCTCGGGTTACATACACTTCAGGTTACATACGCTTCAGGTTACACACTCCGCTAACCCAGAAATAGTACCTTGGGTTAAGAACTTTGCTTCAGGATAAGAACAGAAATCGTGCTCTGGCGGCGCGGCAGCAGCAGGAGGCCCCATTAGCTAAAGTGGTGCTTCAGGTTAAGAACAGTTTCAGGTTAAGAACGGACCTCCGGAACGAATTAAGTACTGAACCCGAGGTACCACTGTATTGCAATAACCTGCAGTGTTATAAGAGTATATATTTAAAGTAGACAAATAAATGAGCAAATTAAGTTAATATGGATATGCAGAAAATATTAAAAATAAATTTAAGGAACCGCAGAAAGGGGGGGAAAGATGTTGAGTTTTGAAAGTTTAAAATGATTGTAAAATTATTGGTGATAATAATGATAATGATGATGATGATGAGAATAAATTGTATGCTGGTCTCCATTGGGTTTGTGAGTGGGGGAGGTGTAATACAGGAGGTCAACACTAGGTGGAACCAGAGCCCATCAGCTCCATCTTCCTCCCTTCTGAGTTATACAGAGGCTAAGGCAGAGGAAGCTGACTGTCAGTGCCGCCACCACCACGTTGGACTGGTTGCAAGGAAGGATGTAGGCAGGTGAAGGCTGACCAAGGGCAGATTGAGTTTGGTGGGGCAGTGCCCCATTTGTCCTAATGGAGGCACCTTCACTGGTTCTAACCAGTGAAGAAATAGAAGAAATTGAAAGGTTTAAAGGAGGAAGAAGCTGTAAAAAATAAACTAGAATAAATTGGGTACAGAGAACCATCAAGAGAGATTCTCATTTAAGGCCCTCAGGGCATTAAAGTCTTCCTAAATTGTAGCGCAAGGAAATTTTCTCGAGGAAAAAGAGAATATTACTACAAATTTTATCCAGCAACTTCCATTCCACAGACAATTCTAGCACTATCAGAGTAATAGCGCAGCAAGAATCATAAAAGCTATACTACAATAACTTAAATCCATAATAATTCCCCACTTACATCGTAATCAAATTGCGAGGGCTGTAATCTAGTTGCGGTTAGAACCGGTTAGGTAAGCAGAGAAGATCTTTGCATGTCTCACAATGCCTGTGAAAACCAACCAAAACTAGCTCTTGTCAAATTTTGGTTTATTAGTGGCAGGGGAGTGGGTAGCAAAGTGGCTTTTTTTTGTACTTCGCAGATTTGGTACAAAGAGGGCCATTTGCTCTATATTTGATGAACAAAGGAAAAGAATTAAGGTAACATCGTAAGCAGATATGCCCCAGCTGCCCCTATTTGCCAAGAGGGAGTACATACTCCCACCATATCCTCCAACATTTCTCAGATGAAAATAGGGATGTCCTATTCCATAATAATACATTTTTTATTATTTATACCCCACCTATCTTACTGGGTTGCCCCAGCCACTCTGAGACGCTTCCAACATATATAAAAACATAAGAAAACATTTTTAAAAAACCCTTCCCTATACAGGGCTTCCTTCAGATGTCTTCTAACGGTTGTCTTATCTCCTTGGCTTGGGGGTCGCCTAGCTCCATACTGTCCGACATTTCTCTAATGCAAACAGGGACATCCTAAGGAAAAGCAGGACATTCCGGGATCAAATCAGAAACCGGAACGGCTTCTGTAAATCTGGGACTGTCCCTGGAAAAATAGGGACACTTGGAGGGTCTGTCGACTAGGATCAGGGCCTTTATTGTGGCGGCCCCTCCTGCCCCTTTGGAATGCAATCGCGATGAGCTTCAGGTAGGAAAAATTCAGGTACAGTATTGGTATCCACAGATTTTGCCATAGGGGCAAAAGTCTGCACTTGCCTCACTCCTCCTATGTTGTATGCAGGAAGGAAATCTCATTCAATAGGGATGGGGAACCAAGAGAGGGAAGGAATGAAGTCAGCAGAATAGGTGGGTTCTCTCCTGCAAATGGGTGGTGTGGGGCTCTAGGGAAGGGGGGGTGGTCCCTGCCCTAGAGTGAAGAGGCACCAGCCAAACCAAAGGAGCTTTCCCTTCCCAGAGTAACATTTCCTTATATCTGCAGAACTGGGGTCCTCTCCTGAACTGAAAATGGGCCCAGGATTAAGGCAGTGGTTGCAGTCCTGACTCCAGACTGCACTTACTTTGGAGTAAGGTAAAGGTAAGGTCAAGGACCCCTGGACGGTCCTAAGTCAAAGGCGACTATGGGGTTGCGGCACTCATCTCGCTTTCAGGCTGAAGGAGCTGGCGTTTGTCCACAGAAAGCTTTCCAGGTTACGTGGCCAGCATGACTAAACCGCTTCTGGTGCAACAGGACACCGTGATGGAAACCAGGGCACATGGAAATGCTGTTTACCTTCCCGCCGCAGTGGTACCTATTCATCTACTTGCACTTTGCCATGCTTTCGAACTGCAAGGTTGGCAGGAGCTTGGACAGAGCAACAGGAGCTCACCCCATCGCGGGGATTCAAACCGCCGACCTTCCGATCGGCAAGCCCCGCTGAATTCAGTAGGACTTACGGATGAGAAGACATGGTTAGAACTGCAGCAAAGGTTTTCTGTTTTAACCTCTCTGCAGCGAGAGAAGATTGGGGCAAATAAAAGAAAGCAGAGCATAGCGTAACTATGAAACTCCGCCCGCCCCCCTGGAGGCAGTTGTCACAACCAACTAGCATGCCTTGAAGAAGAAGAAGAAGAAGAAGAAGAAGAAGAAGAAGAAGAAGAAGAGGAGGAGGAGGAGGAGGAGTTTGGATTTGATATCCCGCTTTATCACTACCCTTCAGGAGTCTCAAAGCGGCTAACATTCTCCTTTCCCTTCCTCCCCCACAACAAACACTCTCTGAGGTGAGTGAGGCTGAGAGACTTCAGAGAAGTGTGACTGGCCCATGGTCACCCAGCAGCTGCATGTGGAGGAGCGGGTAAGCGAACCCAGTTCACCAGATTACGAGTCCACCGCTCTTAACCACTACACCACACTGGCTCTCCTAACCACTGCACTTTAAAAGAAGACTGGACACAGTCATGGGGGAGAGAGCTGGCTACCATCATCACTGCCTCTCCACAGTTGGAGACAGCAATGCCTCTGATCACCATTTGTTGGAGACCACAGTGCTCTGGTGTTCATCTTCTGTTCCCTGGTTCCCTTGCAGGCACCTGGTTGGCCATGGTGAGAACAAGATGGTGGACTTGATGGACCATTGGCCTGATCCAGCAGGCTCTTCTTAAGGTTGTGCTGGAGATCAGGAAGGAAGGACTATGAACAAGGGGGCGAAGAGATAAAAAATGAGAGCTGCAAGATTCTGCACAATTCCTTGGGAGCAAGCTCCACCCAGAGTTACTTTTTTTTTTTAAAGTACAATGGTACCTCGGGTTAAGTACTTAATTCGTTCCAGAGGTCCGTTCTTAACCTGAAACTGTTCTTAACCTGAAGCACCACTTTAGCTAATGGGGCCTCCCGCTGCCACTGTACTGCCAGAGCACGATTTCTGTTCTCATCCTGAAGCAAAGTTCTTAACCCGAGGTAATATTTCTGGGTTAACGGAGCCTGTAACCTGAAGTGAATGTAACCTGAAGCGTATGTAACCCGAGGTACCACTGTACTTAATTTAATGATCAATGTTACAGCATGATCAACACCAAAGTGGATCACAAGGAATAGTTCACCGAAACATTGATGTTCAGTTGTCAGGTATCCGGAGAGGAAGGTTCATGATCATTTGAGTGGTGGACTTTCAAACACCCCAGCTTTTCTCATGGCCTCAAACTCCTTCATGGCATCATAGTTTTTATAGAACTCAGCATACGCTCTTTTCCTTGGTTCAGCCACACCAAACTTGTATCCAGCTGCACATCCCATCGAAAAAAGGAAAGCCACTACAATGTGTTTTCTCAGACGACTGGCCAGGAGGCCTCTCATCTGGGGCTTGGGCAACAAAGCAGCAGACATGGTGATGTTTTCTCGTCTCACAGAAAGCGCTGGAACCGCAAGGTCCTCCTTGTACCCGGAAGTATCCTGCCCTGTCCTTCCTCATTCACCTTCTGAACGGCAGCTCCTGCCTGCGCACCACCCAGAGTTACTTCTGAGTGAAGGAAGGCCGAGAGCTGAAGAGAAGATCTACCACAATTGTGATAATTTGTGTTGGAAAAGTAAAGAAAAGGAAGGTACTTTTCATCATATGTGGTGGACTTGCTCCAAGGTAAAAGACTTCTGGGGAAAAATTTATAATGAACTAAAAAAATTGATGAAATACACTTTTATGAAGAAACCAGAGGCCTTTCTCCTTGGAATAACAGGTTCTGAACTGCCCAAAAAAGATGTAAAAGTATTTTTGTATGCCACAACTGCTGCATGGATTTTATTAGCTAAAAAATGGAAAACACAAGAATTACCAACGGTAGAAGAATGGCAGATGAAGATGATGGAGTTTATGGAGCTGGCTGACCTCACCGGGAGAATCCGCGACCAGAAAGAAGAGGAACACCAAGAAGACTGGAAGAAATTCAAAGACTATTTGAATAAATATTGTAATATTAAAGATATGTAATCACTTGAAAGAATCAATTAGGCCTAGGATTAAATTGGGATTAAATATATAAATAAGAAAATGTACAAAAAGAAAAATAAGGAAATATGATTATGACTGTGATATGGTTTATGAAATAATGATATTGGAAACTGCTATATATAATTACTAAGAAATTCAGATGGAAGAGATTAGAGGAAGCCAAAGAATATGTTTATGAAGATGGATTTTAATTAATTAAGTGATAGTCAAGTGATGATCTGTTGTGTTTCATATTCTTTTTTCTTTTTCTTTTTCGTTCTTTTTCCTTTATTATTGTCAACTTTTTATTTTTTCGTTATGTTTATGTATGAAAAATAAATATTATTGTAAAATAAAAAAGAGAGAGATCTCTCTCCCCAAGTCGTAATGGAATCAAGTGATGTCGTACGGATCCACTGTGTAGGAACTAAAGGAACTAAAGCACACATTCAAATGCTGGCAAATTCTGTTTCTTACGCTGTCAGGGAACTGCCATCGGAAGGAAGGGAGGTGAAAGGACTCAGACAGGTTGGAAGAGACTCAGCAGCGGAAGAGGGAACCAGCAAGGGGAGAGAAGCTGAACTGAGGGAGGTGAAAGGGCTCAGACAGGTTGGAAGAGACTCAGCAGCTGAAGAGGAAACCAGCAGGGGAGAGAAGCTGAACTGAGGGAAAGGGAGCTGGGGGATGGCTCAGAGATACTTCCAGCGAAAACAGTGGTGAGGTTTCCGGACCTCCTGTTGGGACACCCACTCCTCGCCGGAAACTGTCACGCAGAGAGTCCAGAAGACGTGTTTCCGTTAAGGAGCTTTTATGTTGGAAGCGATTACGAAAGCAGCCACTGTCGGAATCTTCTAGTGACTAGAGGAGCCATGTCAGAGGGGCTCAGTCACAGACAGAGGTTTGTGGACTTGAACAAACTCTGAGGGAATACGATTTTACGCACAAGCAGCTCATCTTCCCATCACAGCATTCCGACAGTCTTTGAACGCAGCTTGTGCAGGAGAAGGCATAATGAGCAACCCAGCAGGAACCGGAGAAGCAGGGGCTGGAGCGGGTCCAAGCCTGGAAGAAAGGTACCGGGTGTTGGAGGTCCAGCTGGCGCTGCAGACGGCGAGGCTGGAGGAGAGGAGGGCTCAAGATGCAGACAAAGGGAGAAAGCCACCCAGCTCGCCAGAAAGGTACCAGGATTGGTGCAGAAATTTGGGGGGGAGCCCAAAGACTATCATAGCTTTCGGACAGAAATGCAATATGCCCTCAATCTGCAGTTTGATGATTTCCTGATGAGGAATCACGAGTGGCTTTTGTGATTGGGCATCTTGAAAAGGGGGCGAGAGACTGGGTTAGACCCCTGATGGCAGCGCATAGTGACGTCCTAAAGGACACGATGAAGTTCTTTCGCGCCATGGATCTGATGTTTTCCAGCGATATTGAAAAGGGAGTGGTGCGCAGACAGTTAATGGCTTGCAAACAGGGGAGCCGATCTGTACGTGAGTACTGGACTGAGTTCACCATGCTGATACACAGATTGGGGTGGGACTTATCGGCGGAACCCATTCAAATGCTCTTTGAAGAAGGGCTTTCTTCGGCTGTGAAAGATGAACTTTCCCGGGCGCCCAGGGCGGAGTCTATGGACCAGCTGACCAAATCAGCGCTGGCCATAGGAGCGCGCCAGGAGGCGAGAGCATTGGAGAGGCGGGAAGGGAAAGGGGAACGTTGGAAGGAGTTCCGCATTCCAGACATTCCAGAGCCAACTTTCCCGCCGGCAGAGCCGATGGAAATCGGAACAGCGCGCGCGCGCGCAGTTTCAAAGCCCAGTGAGGGGGGAAAAAAGGAGGGAAAAGGCGCCCGGAAATGCTATCTCTGCCAACAGCCAGGGCACTTTGCCAGAGTCTGCCCTCAGAGGAAGGAATGGCAAGGGATGGTGGGAGCTGTGGAGGGAAGAGAGGAAAAGATACCGGAGCAACTAAAAGCCAACGCCTGGCTGCCATTGTCGGGGCACAGCAGCCAGGCCAAAGAGCAGTGAAAGTGCCCACGCCAGAACCTCCTAAACCCGCCCTAGTGATAGAAGTGACACTAGAGCTGCCAAACGGACACCCTCTAAAGATAAAGGCGCTGTTGGACTCAGGCAGCTCCTGCAATTTCATGAGCAAAGAGTTTGCAGCTGAACACCAGATACAGACGCTCCTTTAAGCAACCCCTGCAGGTAACCACGATCGATGGCAGGGAGCTGTTGGGAGGAGAAGTCAGCTTGCAGACCGTCCCAATGATAATGAAGGTGGCAAGGCACACCGAACTCATTGCGTTTAATGTGGCCACCTTGGGAGGAGCTCCCATTATATTGGGGATGAGCTGGCTAGCGTTACATGATCCGCTGGTGGGCTGGCATCAAAGAGTGGTTTCTTTTGGGTCAGCACATTGCTTAGAACACTGCAAAGAGGGAAAGGTTTTGGCAGGGGCCCAAGCCACCCTAGCAGGGACTGAAGTAACGGAGAACGTGAAGGTACCACGACAATACGCAGATCTCCGCGACGTCTTCAGCGAAAGGGAAGCTGACCAACTACCACCGCATAGAGCCTTTGACTGTCAAATCAATTTGCTCCCTGGGGCACAGCTCCCTGTGGGCAAGCTGTACGCCATGTCAGACAGAGAGATGCAGGAGCTAAGAGAGTTCATTGACAAGAACCTGAAGAGAGGGTTCATCAGAGAGTCCAGGGCGGTGGGGCAGCCCAGTGTTTTTGTGGACAAAAAACACGAACAAGCCGAGACTGGTGTGTGACTTCAGGGCCTTAAATGCAGTGTCAGAACCAGTGGCCTTCCCGATGCCCAGGATTGACGACATTTTGACAAGGGTGCGGAAGGGAAAGATTTTCACCAAGCTGGATCTAAGGGGGGCGTACAACCTGATACGAATAAGGAAGGGGGATGAATGGAAAACCACCATGTTCACCCCTTTAGGGGCATTTGAATACTTAGTTATGCCCTTCGGTCTACAAGCAGGCTCCGCAACATTTCAATCGTTTATGAACCACGTCCTGGGGCCGTTGCTTTACAAGAATTGTGTGGCCTTCTTAGACGACGTGTTGGTGTATTCTGAGAATGAGGAGCAGCATGTGAGAGACGTCAGAGAAGTGTTGAGCAGGCTGCAAGCCAACCAGCTGTGGGTGAAACTGGAGAAGTGTCAGTTTCATACCAAGGAGGTGGAATTCCTGGGGTATCGCCTGTCTGACAAGGGGTTGGCCATGGATCCCGGCAAGGTCCAGGCGGTACTGGAATGGAAAACACCCAAAACAAGGAAGGATGTGCAGAGGTTTTTAGGATTTGGGAACTTCTATCGTAAGTTCATCCCAAACTTTGCCCACCTGACGGCGCCCATTACGGACTGTCTCAGCAGTAAGAAGAAGTTCGTTTGGACGGAGGAGGCGGAGCAAGCATTTGAGGAACTAAAAGGGCCTTCGCCTCGGAACAACAGCTCCTGCATGTGGATTTACAAAAACCGATGAGAGTGGAAACTGACGCATCAGACAGAGCGGTTGGGGCGGTGCTTCTCCAGCCAGGGAAGGAGGAGTCAGAGTGGAGACCGTGTGCTTTTTTTCGCGAAAGCTGAACAAATCCGAGAGGAACTACACGGTGTATGACCGAGAACTACTAGCCATTCATGAGGCGTTCCGGAGATGGAGGCACCTGCTAATTGGCGCACAACATAAGGTGCAAGTGTGCACTGACCACAAGAACCTAGAGTATTGGAGGACGGCACGAGTGCTCAACCAACGGCAAGTGAGGTGGGCCCAGGAATTCTCCAAATTTAACTTTGAGATTTGTTACGTGCCAGGCCCAGAGAACATTAGGGCGGACGCTCTCTCACGCAAACCTGAATATTTGGAGGGGGAGGGAGCACCCGAAGAGAGACATGTCATTCCAGAGGACCGCTGGGTGTGTGGGGCGGCATTGGTGGGACAAAGAGAACTGGTAGAAGAAACAGAGAATGATGAATACGCCCAGAATAAGCTCAGAGGTCTTAGGGATGAGGGAGAGGAATCAAGGGGTTTCGAGGAAAGAAATGGAGCTTTGTATTACAAAGGGGCACTGTATATCCCTGAAGGAGACTTAAGGGGAGGGTACTCAAGCAGTTGCATGACAGCCCCACGGCGGGCATTTTGGGCAACACAAAACCATGTGGTTGGTCACCAGGGAATTTTGGTGGCCTAAGGTGAGGGAGGATGTACGTGAGTATGTAAGAGGGTGCGAGCAGTGCCAGCGAGCCAAAGGGGAAAGGCGGGCGCCGGCGGGGCTATTAGAACCCTTACCAACACCAGAACGACCTTGGGAGGCAGTGTCGATAGATTTTATGACTGATCTGCCGAAGTCCAAAGGGAAAACAGCCATCATGGTGGTGGTAGACCTA